CATGGAGTCATCATCTTTGTTCAAGACTAACATCGAACTCGTATTCGGGACCCCGATAACAGCTACGGCTCACTAAGTTCTAGCAGGCGGCCAGATTTTTCCTATGTACTTTTGGGCGTTGACCTAAGATGACCCGGCCAAGACCTTGAAATTGGGCATCATCGGCTTTCTCTCATCACGGGCAGCATTTTTGCTCTTTCGCGAAACTCTATCTCGATCAGGGGCCGAAAGCATGCCTTATGCGTTACGTTGGTAAACGTTTTACCTTAGCGACCCGCAAAATACGAATAAGAGCTACAGCAACATGCAGTAAGCGTATTCGATAGCTTTTTAAAACTCTTTCGCCAACTTCGCCTCAGATATGACTTCGGGTCTATGGCTTGTGTACCATAGAGTCCAAACAGCTAAACGGACGGATTTTGCCGAAACATTAGTTCTGTAACAACATATGGTTCAGTGAATGTGTATGATATTCATGTTATCACCATCGTTTTTGTTTCGTCGAAACCCGTCGCATGGCTTACAATTTGAACTTAAAAACTTCAATAGAAAACTTGACATTAGGTAAAGGTCATGACCTGACCAAAAAAGAACCTGCTGCATATAGATCGATCTGTGTTACTGAGCTGAACACACTCCAGGTGCTGTCATCGCTCTACAACGTCTCCATCAAAAGTTGTTGTCGAAAATGTGTTAGAGACCTTTGATGACCTAATGACTGACCATTTCAGTCACCACTGGTCATTAGCTGCACCTTATCTCTAAAATGAACAAGGTGCCATGGCTACAAAAGTATCTAGCGTTTTTAGCATATTCTTTCTAAGCAGAGGGCATCGTGCTTTTTCCCATATCTTATCATGATTGGTGAGGTCACACACCTATTTAACCTGACTTCGCTTCTCAGATGTAAAATCCCAGATTCATGAACTGTTTGCACTTATACTCCCATTCATTACACCAAATTTCAGACTTATAGGAGATCATCTATAGGAATGACAAGACTGCAGTTTTTAGAGGCATTAAAACTGAACTTGACATGATATTGTGACCTGACCTCAGGTGACCTGTGCTTGATTTTTATGCACGATGCAAAAATTGATGTACATTAAGATATACCGCTGCTTTCGCGGCGCTGCGCGCTGAGTTTTTCCTCCGGGCACACGAAAAAAACCGGGAGTGTGGCTAAAAACACCCCTACCCATCAAGACGAAGACCGGAAACCCGACCCCCCCCCCCCCACTCAAAAATCCGTGGCGACGCCCCTGATCTCGGTAACTACTTGGCCGATTGCGCTGAAAGTTGGCATGTGGGTAGGCACCACTAGGCACTGCATATTCATGTGCCAGAGTTGGGGTGCTGCTGCACGTGCGCACGTGCAGGGGTCGTTTCCAGATCTCGAGAACGGCTGGACCGATGGCGCTCAAATTTGGTACACGGTGAGGGACCAGTTAGTAGGGTGCCGTGCACAAGTCAGTTAGGACCCATTTTGCACGTGCGCACGTGCTGGGTGCCGCTTCCAGATCTCGAGAACGGCTGGGCCGATTGTGCTCAAATTTGGCACATCGCTAGAGACCGGTTAGTAGGGTGCCGTGCACAAGTCAGCTGGAGGTACCCCGTCGAAATTTCGCACGTGCAAGGCTCACCCTCTCGCTCGCTCCGTTAGTCGCCCCAAAAGGCGTTATACCTACTGGTCAATAGCGGGGGAACACCTTCAATTAACCCTAGAACGCCTAGGGGGGGGGGGGGTTGTATCAACCCCCCTTAGGTTTTTTCGAAGTGCACGCTAAACGGCTTGTCGTAGCGGGCTGAAATTTTCAATACCCTCTGGGGCAACCTTTGCGCATCTTTTGCCGAAAAAAAATTGATCGGGTCATGTCAGGTCACGGAGTTATGACGTCATAAGAGGTACAGCCTCCGGCCAGATTTTCACAAACTGAGTGCCAACGCCCGAGGTTTCCTGCCGGTGGTACAGACATCGGTTGATGGATCGTGATGAAACTTCCCATGCATGTTGGAGCAAGTATTGGCTATCATATGGTATAAGAAATTTGACCGGGTCAGGTCAGGTCACGGAGCTATGACGTCACAAGAGGAACAGCGTCCGGTACTATTTTTGAAAAGCGCCCGAACCACTATTTTGCTAATTCTTGTCACCTCAATGGGAATATGCAGCAATATTAGCTTCTATAGGGAGCAAATGGACCTCCCAAATCAAAAAATACAATCAGATTTCAAAAATTTAAATTTTGATTTTTCGAATTTCTGCCGCCGACTGTGACCTTGCCGACTTCCGGCGCTCCCAACGCGCCATTTTTAGAGCTAGGGAAACGAAATACATACCAAACGATAGAGAATTGATCAAGGAACACGATAGTGAAGGTTTCAAGTCGATATCTCTCACCCTTTTGCCGCAATCGCCGCCGAAAGTTGAAACAAGTCTATTTTTCCGAAAATTTGACCTTTGACCGGTCAAAAGTAGGTCAAATATTGAGCTAGGACCAAAAAATATACCACCAATCGCGAGATCTCGTTGAGAGCAATCCGTTGGTTTTTTCCGCTAAGCTCTACGACCTTCCGTTTCGAAACGCCAGGGGGGGGGTCGTAACAACCCCCCCTGGTCGTTCGTGTTATGAGAAATGGCCTGGTCGTGCGAGGGTTAAAGAGGGGCACTGCCGACTTTTGGTCCCATTCTTTCCATGCAACGCCCATAGGGCTAATGTTAACCCTCGCACGACCAGGCCATTTCTCATAACACGAACGACCAGGGGGGGGGGGGTTGTTACGACCCCCCCTGGCGTTTCGAAACGGAAGGTCGTAGAGCTTAGCGGAAAAAACCAACGGATTGCTCTCAACGAGATCTCGCGATTGGTGGTATATTTTTTGGTCCTAGGTCAACATTTGACCTACTTTTGACCGGTCAAAGGTCCAATTTTCGGAAAAATAGACTTTTTCAACTTTCGGCGGCGATTGCGGCAAAACGGTGGGAGATATCGACTTGAAACTTTCACTATCGTGTTCCTTGATCAATTTTCTATCGTTTGGTATGTATTTCGTTTCCCTAGCTCTAAAAATGGCGCGTTGGGAGCGCCGGAAGTCGGCAAGGTCACAGTCGGCGGCAGAAATTCGAAAAATCAAAGTTTAAATTTTTGAAATCTGATTGTATTTTTGGATTTGGGAGGTCCATTTGCTCCCTATAGAAGCTAATATTGCTGCATATTCCCATTGAGGTGACAAGAATTAGCAAAATAGTGGTTCGGGCGCTTTTCAAAAATAGTACCGGACGCTGTTCCTCTTGTGACGTCATAGCTCCGTGACCTGACCTGACCCGGTCAAATTTCTTATACCATATGATAGCCAATACTTGCCCCAACATGCATGGGAAGTTTCATCACGATCCATCAACCGATGTCCGTACCACCGGCAGGAAACCTCGGGCGTTGGCACTCAGTTTGTGAAAATCCGGCCGGAGGCTGTACCTCTTATGACGTCATAACTCCGTGACCTGACATGACCCGATCAATTTTTTTCCGGCAAAAGATGCGCAAAGGTTGCCCCAGAGGGTATTGAAAATTTCAGCCCGCTACGACAAGCCGTTTAGCGTGCACTTCGAAAAAACCTCAGGGGGGGGGGGTTGATACAACCCCCCCCCCCCCCTAGGCGTTCTAGGGTTAAAATGCCAGAATCAAAGAGGGACACGGTGCCCCGGTGCCCTCCCCGTTCCGCCGCCTATGGGACTGATGGTTGTCCGGTGGCTTATCCCGCGCCCTGATGGGAAGGGGGCAATCCCCTGTGACCTGACCTGGAATGTCAACCAATGACCTAAGACCTTACAATTGGGTATCACCGGCTTCCTCTCGTCACGGGCAACACACTCGCTTTTTTTCCGCGAAGCTCTTGCTCGATCAGGGGCCAAACGACAAGGGGGGAGGTCCAACCGAATCCCCCCCTTACCGTCCAACCGAACCCCCTTCGCGCTTTTTCCTCGAAGCTCTAGCTCAATCAGGGGCCAAACGGGAAAGGGGGTTCTTTCAACCGACCCCCCCCCATGTTAGAAGCTGGCAAACGCCGCACACATGCGAGGGTTAACCCTTGCCCGTATTAGTGTCTTGCCAGCTGCGAACATATGGGAAACATAGGAAGGCTAAGGAAGGCTGGACCCCTTGCAGTTCGGCCCCTGATCGAGCTTCGCCGAAAAATGAGTGTAGCCTGTAGGTATTGCGCCAGACGCAGGCAAACAACGTTCGGTCACAGTTCCGCCACGTCTAATCACAGACCACCGCATGTTCAGTCACAGACCACAGTCAGTCACAAACCATCAAACGGTCAGTCACAGACCACAGTCAGGCAGACCACCGCAGGGTCAGTCACAGACCACATTCAGTTGCAGACCACCAAACCCAAACGGTCAATCACGGACCACAGTCAGTCACAGACCAACAAACGGTCAGTGGCACAGACCATCGGTGACCACTGACCATTGCATCGGTGGCACCATAGGCGCGGGAGCCGGGGGGCAGTGGGGGCAGCTTGCCCCCCAACTCTGGGGCCGTGGGGGCGGTGCCCCCACAGCTTTGAGACGGAATACCACACTTTTTTTGCAAATGTTTTCTTTTTTTGTTGAAAAAGCCGAGGGGTGAAAAATAAGTGGCCTAAAACCGGGGAGAAAACTAGATTTGGGGTACCCTAGGTTAATCTCTATTATGGTGTGCCCCCCAAGTCGGAAAGTAGTTCCCGCGCCCTTGAGTGGCACAGACCTTGGGTGACAAGGTCACAACTCACATGCACAGTCAATTACTCAAGGCCATCACACAAATCACATACAGCGGCAGTCACAGACCACCGCACGGTCACAGAGCAACGCACCATCAGGCATCAGTCACAGACCAGTAGGCTGGCGCATCTCCTTGGACTAAGATCAGTAAGAATATGTGAAGGAAAAACTTTAAATGGATATGGCTGCTTGATTACTCCGTTTGGTAGCAATATTTGGGGCTCTTATTAGAAGACAAATATGTTTACTGTTGGTGTGCATCGCCGTTGCGAGGAGTGGGGCATTCTTTTCGATTTAATTACACTTATGGAGTGAGCTGCAAATTATTTAGGTAGTCAAGGGAATAATTGACATGTCTGGAGTGGTTTAGTGTTTAATATCTGTGTTTTGAATTCCAACATCAAGTTTAAAACAGGAAAGAAGGCCGTAGACACCTGTTGAACTGAAATGGAGCCTCCAACGGAGTTCACGGCGGATTCCGTCCGTGACTATATTCTGAGCAAGGGTGGAAAAGTAACAAACCATGAACTAGTGAAACATTTCAAGCCGTTTCTCACTGATCCAGTAATGAAAGGTAAGCCCGGCAGGTCTTGCTGACAATACAATATGAAATTTGTTGTTACGAATGTGGCGCATGTTGACGGGTGTGGTACTAAGGCTGCCTAGTTTGAAAATCATCAGGCTTGAGAAGCTTGTTTCTTTATGGAACCCTTTTCACCACAAAGAAACTACTTGGAAGAGCCAAGAATAACACCTGAATAATCAAATAATGATACCTTAATCTGTCGCGTCAATGTCATGTGAAGTTCGTGAAACTCAGGCTAGAATTGAAATATTTTTGTTAGCATTTGTTTATACATTTGTTTTTAAAGTACAGTAGTGTTGTGCTGCCATGTGCAACAGTATCATCCAGCCTGTAATAAAGCTCTACAAAAATGAAAAATCATTTTCTATTTGTGACTTGGTCTAAGCTGCAAACTGTTACAAAAGTCGTATAGTCTATGACCTGTACCACCGGGTTGGCAAATCAACACTGGCCCACACCAACCCATGCCGGAAATCCGCACCATCCCATGCTGATAAAGGCCTATATTTTTAACCAGTTTCTTGATATCTGCACTTTTGACTTGAAAAACTGCAATCAAAGGTATATTATTCCCTGGTTAACCCCTTGGTCATTGGTGTCTCCCATGTATCATTTACTCGGACAGCCATACACAGTTTAACACAGTGCCCTGTTGAAGTCTGCACTGCTCCACCCAAAATCCTCACCATGCCACTAGCAAGTCCGCACAGCACTTCACACCAGCCTCCGCACCAACATTACATCAATATTGCCGTGCTTTGTGGTCTTGACTTGCTGGATGAGACAAGCCAGGTGGCTAGAAAAACAACCTGCTAGACTCTGAAGCAAACATTCTGGATATGGCAGCAGAGCTGATAGCTGCAACAAGAATGGTAACAAATCCGCACCAGTCAGATTCTGGTCTGGAAATTGGCACCAGCCAACATCATCCTAGTCCTGGATTTGAAACTACTCATAACTACGAAGTTAGCACATCTGGGAAGTTAAAATGTTTGAAGGTCAATATTTTTTGTTTTTTTTTTGTCATATTTGGGCTTGCTTGATATTCCTTCTGCTTGCACATCCATTTCACATGACTTCAAGGACGACAGTTTGATCTGCAGTGTTATAGAGTCACTAATAGATATGATAGAATGTAGGTGTCATTGGGTTTTAGATGTTAGATGTTAGATTTTATTGCTATCATTAATGAACCTTCTCTAGCACTGGCAGTGGCAATTCTTCATCCTTGACAACACATTTTTAAAGGTGTGACCAGTGACTGCTTCGCTCTGGCCTCTGATCCGATAAGAGCTTTACAAAAAAACGAGAGTGCTATCTAATTTCAGCGTGAGGAAGCCATCGGTTCCCATTTTGACCAGTGTTTGTTAAGGGTCACAGCAAACCCCCTTGGTAACATTTTTTTTTGCTTGGAGAGATAGGTATAAAGAAAACGTAAAAAGTGATTGATAGCGCTCAACGAGTTTTCTGAAAATTTGCGAGGCCATTTTTATTTCAGGTCAGTACTGAGGTCATTTTACCTGCGCCCTGCAAGGGATGTTCGAAATGCAAGAAAATTTCGAACACCCCTGGTGATTTTTTCGCTGATGACTAAGAAAACTGCGGCTCGCCGGCTCATTGAGCTGCGTTTTTAGCACACCTTTTCATGTATCTTCTTTGATGCACATGCAGGTTGTTAAAATTTCAGACCCAGGCTTTCAAGTCAGGGCACATATACCTCATGTCACATAAAGTGACATTAGGTACCTACCTCAGAAAACGTGGTAATGCTCACGGTTCACCAGTCACCATAGCGCTACACCGACTGAGCGATCGCTTCGAAGCGTTCAGCAATTGATAAGGGCAATTTATTTATTTATTTATGGCAGCGCATCCGATCGTTCCACTATTATAAGGGCTATTCTGCGATCTTTGTCTGTACATGATTGCAACACATACCTAGTTAAAAATGGATAAAATGCAACACCTACGGATAAAATGCATATCTCATAAGTTTGACATCGATGACCATAAGCTACTCTATTGCATAAAATTTAGACTACTGACCTGACCAGGAGGCCTCACAAAATTTCAATTTTGTGCATGGGTGTCGATTTCCTCCGGGTCGGGGGTGCCCGAGCTCTCGAAATTCCTCGCCGGCTCGGACGGCTTGGCTTTGGAGCCCCAGCAGACGGCGCGGGTCAAGGTCACCGCTAGGGTTGCGGCGAATTTGCTACGCCCGGGCACCCCCCAACTCGGCAGAAATCGGCACCCATGACCTTTCTATTGCAAATAAATGGGAGAAATTGACCTGCGCTTTTTTGGACGAAATTCATACTGATTACTGAACACTCAAACATTGGATAACAGGTCAAGATGAAATATTAAAATGGGACATTTTCGCCTGTGACCCCTCACCATGCCCCTGGGCCCCGAGGTCAGTTCAGGTCATTTAAGGCCTACAGGAGTTATCGACATCTGATGATTAGCATGAGACATGCTAATCGATGAAAACATTCGCTAATCGATCATCGATGAAAACATTTTGGATGTGTTCCAGCTCAACGATACTGATCGACCGACATGCAACATGACCTCATCCGATCTGATCATGGTCTTCACCCTAGGTCAAATTTTCAAGTTGAGCTACAAGATCAAATTATAGCTTATTGGACACGTCTCGGTGAGAGGAACAGGATGACAGTGAAACTCATGTCCTGCAAGTGTTGTCGAAAATTATTGCAGATTTTTTTTTTTAACGTAAGAAGTAAATTGGACGCTCTCTGCCCTCTCTAGTATAAACCGTTGACGTTGAGTCAAAGCTGATAATTTTTTTTTTTCTGAAAGAGCACTGAAAGGGCTATCTAATGCGCCTTTCTGCGATGCTGTAGCTCTATTCGTTCCCTAATTATGCGTCGATTTTCCGAAAATTTCTCGAAACAGGCGAAGGTTAGCCTTTGATGAACTCTGTTGACCTTGCCTTTGACCTGACCTAAAAATGATTGAAGTACTTCTTTCATGATTTTTGGCGTTCTTTTGAATGCTGCTAATCGCTTGTCACCACGTGGCCCGAGCGCCGAGTTAGACAGGGGTGTTCATGTTCAACCCCGGCCCGCTTCGACCCCTCAACATAGGTTAACGAATTCTAGATGACAAACTTAAAAAAAACTAAAGCTGCTTGAGTTTACATTTGCTAAGGTAAGCAACATATTTTGGTGAGACGTACCTTCCGCTTTTGCCTCGGGTCGCCCGTGTCCTCAGAGGACCCGTGACCGGTCGGCGTGACTCATACCCGCCCAGTGTCCGACGCTCGTCTCCGGCTGTATAGGCGATATCTGGAGCCTAATCAACTTCAAAGAATGTACAAAACTGAAACATTCGTCCTTCCACGGAGCTGGCACACTCAGCGAATGACTGCGCCAATGATGCTGGGTTTCCAGGAATTGTAATTATTGGTTCCATTTATCTGAATTCTGGGTGTTTCTTACTAATCGGATGTTTTACTGCCCATCGCAGTTGATGTTCAAGTCTGTTTTTCGTAACACGATGCTTAATTTCTGTCATTCCTGATTGATCAAAAGCTGATTTAAGTGGGTATAAGCCGACTAAGACGTCATTCAGCATGATTCACTGGAAAACCAGATTTATCCAACCAGCTTGTTCACCGAACCATCTGTCCGTAGATTTGACAAACATTAGTCTAAAATTCTTGGGAAAAGATACACCAATTGCTTGGCAGTTATATCATTTCAGAATGATGTTGTGCAATATTTCGTCTGTGTGGAGTTTTGAAATTATTTACTTGTCAATTGCTATCCTGCTGCCCTAGACTACTGTATTACAGGATATAGAGTAGTCTGTGCTACTGCTAATTTCTTTCTTTCGGTTCGTCCGCACTATCCAGTTTGTCGCTCTACTCGGTAGCGTGTTCCCCACAGGAATGAGGGAGCGATGGACGTGCTTCCATACCTCCGTCGCCGTTTCATGTCCCCTGTCCAGTCCATCTTGTAGACACCTGCCGTTGTGGTGGGCGGCGGTCTGGGCGACAGCACAGCCTGACATCCATTAGCAGCACATTTGTCACACACTTTTCAGCTGCGTGTGACAGCGACACTTTGCGCCGGTGGTCCTCCTTGTACCCCGTTTTCCCGTGGTGGTGGACCCATCCGGTGACCGCCCGCCCGTCAGGCCATTCTCGCGTGCCCCGCTGTCGTACGGCGCTATGCCGCCCGTCCTGCAGATACGTATCACTAGTCGAGGTGGTAGGCACGCGCGCAGACGATTTGCGCGATACACATCGCTAAAACTGGCGTCTGTCGTGTATTGTTTGGGGAGAATGACAGGCCCCCAAAGCGTGTAGCCGTACTATCAAATGTGTCGGCTTGGCCAGCGTTTGTCATGACAATTATTGCCTATAAAATTTATGATTGGATGATAGCTATTCATTCACTGTTCGGAACTTGTGCCATTCTATGCTATCATTTCCGGTAGCATTCTCACATGCTCTCTAGTGGGATGCTTTCCAGTGATACTCGGTACCGAAATTCTGTTGCGGTGGATTTCCGCTGCTAATGGATTGATTTGACCGCAGCGGTGGTCGTCGCGTGCTGTTTAGACATGCCGTCACCCGGCTGGGGCCCCACCACACAGCTCAGCATACGGCGCAGCACTGCCGCCGTTAACGATCACTAATGCAACCACAGACGACCGGCGGCGATCACGATGCAGTCAGTTCTGTACATTTTCGCCAAGGTCGCAATGCCTGGTGACATTTACGTGCTGTTTGCCCACTTGACTACCGGCTCGGTAGTCATGCTGTGTCGTGAAGACATTTCGAAGCTGTTTCTTGTGTTCGCTGCCAGTAAGATTGACAGACAACGTGCAAATGAAAGAGCTTGCAAATATCCAGCGAAAGATGTCGAGCATGTTTTGGTTGTCTTTCTGCCCCGGTGCACATGTCACACGGTGTCGACATGAACACCAGCCAGCTGACCACGGTCGTCTCGCCAGTCAGCTGACTCGTACTCGGCTGACAGAGGTATGACACGCTCTTTACTAGACCGGACAACTGGCGGCCACCGTGGCCAAGTGAAACAGCTCGCGTGCTGCTGTAGACTGGGACAGGGTGTGATGTCCCTCGCTAAACGGCAGGTGCTGTCCGCGTGTGTCTGTCACCGGCGTCACCGCCTGTCTGACAGAGTCGCTCTGTCGTTTCAGACACGGCGCGCACCCAGTTCAAGGAGTACGTCAACATGTTGGCCAGCATCAAACTAGAGGACGGCGAGAAGTACCTGGTGCTGAAGAAGAAGTACCGCCAGGGCCTGCTGGCGGAGGTGCTGAGCGACGTCGGCTCCGAGTACAGTTACGTGTCGCAGAGCACGACAGGCAGCACGCCCGACCCGCCCGACCTGGGCCTGCCGCCGCCGCGCGCCCCGCCGCCGTACCGGCCGCCGCCGCCGGCGCCCGTGCCGGCTCCGTTCCCCGGGCCGGCGCCCTACCAGCCGCCGGGCGCGTACAGTCCGACGTACCGGGCCGTGCCGGCACCGGGCGGGCCCCCGCCGGGACTACCGGGCCCCTACGGCGGTCCCCCGCCGGGGCCGTACGTCGGACCGCCCAGCCCGGCCGCCTCGCGCAACTCCATGACCATGGAGCGGAGTCCTGCGCTGGATGAGTACTACCACGTCCCGGAGAGCCGCCCGCTGGCCGACCCGCAGCCGGTCGGCCTGCCGCCGGCACCGCCGCCCGAGCTGTGGGCCCGCTCTGCGCCGCGCCGGCCCGCCGAGCAGCCGCCGACACGCCGCCAGGCCCCGCTGCCGACACCGCCTCCGCCGCCCGCCGAGTCGGCCGAGTGGCGGCCGACGCCCCCGGTGGACCGACCGACACCCCCGATGGAACGACCGACGCCCCCGATGGAGAGAGCGGCGCCCCCGACGGATCTCCCCGTGGAGCGGCGACCGCCTCCGGCCGCCGAGCCGAGCCCCGACCGACCGTCACCAATGGACGGCGAGCCGGCGCCGCCTGTACCTCCGCGCCGCCGCTCCATGGGCAAAGAGAACCAGACACCGCCGCCGGCGGACGCTGCCTCCTCAGCAGAGGCCGAGGCTGCCAGAGAGGTGAGGACGCCGACCACTGAGCAGGGCTCGCACGGCTGCGGGAAGGGTGCTCTACAGGTGCTCTGCCGCGCTGACCGCTCCCCTGGGTGGGCCGGGAATGGCTCTCACAGCGGTGCACGCCTCAGGGGTCTGCCGTGTGTGGGTCACGTGTGAGTGTGTGTGTGTGAGTGGGCTGCTGCCGATGGGATGCACCGTGTGTGTGGGCCGTGGTGAGCGGCAGGGGTGAGCACCAGCGACCCAACCCCTGATCTGCTGGTAGAGTGCTGCCGAGGAGGAGCGACAGAAAAAGATCAGCGTCAAGGAGCAAACGCAGAAGTTCAACCGGATCGCCTCAGAGTCTCAGATCCTGCAGCCGAAGCAGCTCAACAAACGGCGCGACAGAGGCGACAAGGTGGGTTTTGGTGTGACGATGGGCAACGGCGAGGGTCAGACTGGGACGTTAGGTTATAGTCGGCACATTGCTGATGCACGTTGGGAGAGTCATTGTTGCAGCATGCAAAAGTCAAGTCAAAAGTCATGACATCGGTAATATAACCTAACTTGCTTATGCCGTCATTCAGTCTGGTGCGGACTTATTTACCCGATCTATCGTGCCACTAACATAATCAGATTGTAAATCACCCACTTACAGGGCAATATCTAATTTTACCCCATCTATCTGGATTGTAGAGAGCTCGTGCCGTTTCTGTTGGGCGTGTGTACTTCCACGCGCCTCCGATAAGCGTTATCTGCAGAGATAAACTCCAGACGCTGCGTGCCCGTTCTCTATCTACCCGGACCTCACCCCGAGGCGTGCAGTCTGACGGTCGTGATTAGGCTAATCACCAGCCACTTAGCCACTTGATGAGGTTGAAGGGAATCAAACCGGGCTCTGGGGCAGTGAGGGACGGTTTGCCACTGCAGCTGATCTCGATGTATAATGGGTCGTTTCAAGCCGTACTTTGTGCAACTACTGCTGTATGTGGATCTGCCTACTAGTTAGCTGGGTGTATGACCCGCCGCTGCTGATGTGTTGGTATGTGGACCGAGTCTCCACTGTTGTGTGACGACCTGTCTCTATTACAGACTCCAGTGGATGACGAGGATACATCCTCTACAGCCACGGTAAGTAGCTAGACAACGTGGAACCGTGTGCGGCCGGCACTAACAGACGACTGCGTCGGAAAACCGTGATAGACTCCCACTGCCGGTCTTTAGACAAGAACCAGCAGACAGGGGCCTTTTGTTAGAACTGAGGGACTGTCTGCTGTGATACGGGTCTACTGCGTGCACTGGACTCTGGTATTGATGGCTGAATCTTCGGCTTTGGGACGGGAGTGAGCGCTATGGAATGGCTGTGCGACTTTATCAGTGCCCACCAGTCTCCCGCGCAACATTGAACTACCAGTGTTGTCATGCGGACTGCGGCTGTAGGTAATTTCCACTGATATTGTTTGATACCTGCCTAACTCACCCGACACTCCCTGTAGCCTCTGAACGCTGTATCGTGCTACTCCTGAAGTCTGTATCCTCTGTATGCTTCCTGCATCTTCTAACCCGTATTTCAAATTTCAGGACCTCTTTGTCCCGCCCTGACCTGTAAAACCACATCCCATGACCTCGTAACGCCGTTGCGTTCATTTACCTAGATTTCATGTTCTCTGACTTTCAAAGTCAATATCCTGATCTCTTTGAGAATTATCTGACATGACCTGACCTAACCTTGACCTGACATTGACCCGTTCACCCCGGCGCAGTTCGAGGGCATCAACAAAGACTGGCTCCTGGTGAGCAGCTCCTGCAAGTACATGGAGATTGTGCGCATGCTGAAGGACAATCCGAAGCTGGCCAAACACAAGGTAAGTCCCGCCGAGGCGGTGTATGGCGTTGGCTGTATTTGTGACCATTGGGTGTTAATGGTGTCTACTTGGTGATCTCCTGTGCCTTGGCCTCGCCTATTGGTGCGGACTGGTGAACTCAGAAGGTAAACAGGCCTCGTGGCCAAATCTTGAAGACACTGGCTCTCTACACACGTAAGACACTGGCACACAGCTGCGCTTTACACTAGGTCACATATTCACACGGGCGACGCCTCTCTCAGTGCCATCCACACTTGTTCGTACTTACCGTCACCTACTTGATGCGACATCCTTCGAGGCGGCGCATGTGTGACCTACCGCTCGTCGTTGATCCCCTGGCTCCGGTGCAGTGACCTCTGCACCGCTCAACTGTCCCCGTTCTGCTGCCAATCCGTCTATCTGTCCGGCGAGGGGTCCTGATCGGACGGTTGATACCTTCGGAAGGAGGCTGAGCGGCCCACGGGTGGAGAATTGTGCTGGACTGGGGGTGCTCGAGCTCTCCCAATTCCACGCCGGCCACGCCGGCTTGGCTTTGGAGCCGCGGCCGGGCGGCGCGGGTCAAGGTCACCGCTAGGCGGCGGCGGATTTGCTGCGCCCGAGCACCCCCAGCTGGTCACAATTCTCCACCTATGGGCCTGAGCCGATATCTTCGGAAGGAGGGGCTGAGCTGATAGACGGATGGGCTGAGCCGATGATCTTCAGCCACGGAGCCGCCGGCTGGGTATCAGCTCACCCTTCCCGGGTGACCGCTCAAATGGACGGCACGGCAAAAACAGCATCGGTGGTCGGCTTATTCTGGTCATACCCGCTTCGTTCTGGGTAGACGCTTTCTTTTCCTTTTTCTGTCACATACAGAGGGACCTTTCTGAGGCAGGCGATCACGAGCGTATTTGAAAAAGCTGGGGATGTAGGAAGCTTGCTCAGTAGGCACCTTTCCTATCAAACATACAAATAAGATGGGTGTAAAACAATATCTATGCCAAACTCAATAAGTATATGATCGATCGTGGCTGCTCCCACCTTCTGCTGAAGTCCCATGCTCAAAACATGTCTATGCACAACAAGCACACATATTTTTTGAGGAATTCAGATATAATCCGAGCTCATTCCAGAATTCAGATATTGTCACAAGAAGTTCAAAGTTTTATTATGCGCCAAAATGGGCTGTAGTCGCGCTTGTCTTTGTATTTTCTTGACACCGTCATCATTTGGAAATAGCTTCATGTAGGGGATTTAGGCACTCGATCTCTCGAACTGCAAGATGACACCTTAAAATACAGCTATCGTAACTCTCTGGTGAGATAAACTGATTTCTGAGTCACTGAGTGGATTTACTCCTTGACGAGTTATTATCCTTGACAGCAATCTGCTTTGCGATTTAAATGAAGTCTTGAGCATAATCTGGTCGTGGCTGTGGTCTTCTGGTGTGATGATATTAACAGTGATGTCATACTCGTGTTAGCTGTCATGACCTGCTTGTACTGTTTCGTATCTGAGGAGCCTTGTCGAGACAATCTCCTCGTTGGCTCATGGCGAGGTGGAACTGGATTCGAAGTTGTTTGTTGATCTGCCTAAATATGCGCTGAAAGTGAGCGTTTACTGTTCCACGAATGTAGTTGCGAGAGTATCTGTGCTGAGAAAGATTTGCATTTATTCAGGTTTAGTTTTTAGTTATTTTCTGTCGGTCTCATAATCCTAATTTATTTAATGACTTAACTTTAAGTTTCTCGAACATTTTCTCTGACTACCCTTTGCCGATGGCCTATTCTTAAAACGGCCAACAGTTTCATCAGCTGACTACGGGCTGGACTGGCTCCTCAATCCTCACCCACGCGGTCGAGTTTGAACTGGTGACCGCTGGTGTCCCCTCACCACTGTCTGGTTCTGGTGTCCGCTGCCGGCCGTACCACCACTGTCTGGCGTCCACTGCCGGTCAGCCCTGAGCGGACGCCAGTGCAGCATGTCGCACCGGCCGGCCCGTCCTCGGCCCGGCCGGTGGAATACGCTTACCATGAGTGATGGGCGCCGGACGGCCGGCCGGTGCGGCGGCTCTCACGCTGTCCGGCCCTGCATTCTGCACCCTGCACACCTCGGCCCTGCTCCGGCTGCCGACGGTGATGCATTGTGTCGATGCATGGCGGTGATATATTGAGTTGACGGATGGCCGCCGACCGCTGCATTTGTAACCGGGCCTGGCTCAGAGATGGTCCGATCTGTCCTGGCCAAACTGCCAAAATGCTGCAGTGCTGCACCGGGGCCAGGCAGACGAGTCTGTTGTCCTTTTTTGATAAATTTGCATGCAAAATAATCGATGAGTGAGGGTGATATCTCGTGGAATGTGGATGTTAACTTGACGTGGCCTTGCACCAGTGCAAAATGAAAAAGTGGTGTGAGGAACAATGCACAGTGAAGTCTTTTGTGTACTGACCATACGTATTTGGCCATACGTGAAGATGGGCTGTCGTTTGTCGTTTTTCGTTTGTCGGATTTATCACAAAACGCTGTTTAGTTTGAACATTTTTTCTTCTTATTTCGTTACTTGTCAAGGGACGACTAAAACCAGGAGCATGTCCGGCCGGCTCGCCGCTGGGTGGCTGAAACGATCCCTCATCGCTGCTTGATCGGTCCGCTCCAGCCTGATCGCGACGCCCCTTACTGCCACACCGGCTCTGACCTCTGCTGGGCGGCTGTCTGTACGATGGACTGCTATCGCCACCCGTCCGCCGTCCCGCATCTGAACCGCCATCCGTCACCAGGAGCTCCCACTCGGTATTCCAGTGCCGTCCGTCCGTCCGTCCACTCGTCATTTCCTCACCTGACCGGACACCGGTCACAGCCCGGCCCAGGTGTCTGTCTGTCCGTGCAGCCCCGATCGGGGTTCCAGATGAGCCGCAGAGCGCCGGTCCGCTGCGCTGCGTGGCGAGTGGCTATCGCCGGCCGGCCGGCGGTAAATAATGTATGATGGTGTCGACAGGGGTGATCCGTCGCCCTCGCGCTGCCGTCGAGGTGACACCGCGGATAGGCCGTCAGTCAGCGCAGGGCGGTGGGGTGTCACCACGCGAGACACTGGACTGGTGGAGGGATGGTGCATCGCCGGGTCCGTACCGGTGGGGAGGGGCACCAGATTGAGATCGGAGGAGCGTTGTGGGGTCGAGGGGGGAGGGGGCATCTGAGTCGGAACTGGTGGGTTAGGACCTGAAGAGTTCTGTGCTTAGGTGGAGAGGACTTTCAGCTGCTCCCGCTCTTCTACGCGAAGATGACTGTCAGCAGAGTGACATGAGTGGCATCCCTGACCAGTGCTGGCCGAGATCTCACGGCAGTGACCCGCGTCATCAGAGAACCAGCGTCTCTGTCAATACTCAACCGAGGCCCTGTCGGTGTCACTCCCGCCAGCTGAAATTGGCAGCACGTGCGAGTGAATTTCGCCGGATTTAGGGGCCGCGGTGCCAAACGTTATTTCGGTTCTGTATATGAAAGGTGGTAGACACGTTTCAGTCTGGATCGAAGTTGTTGGGGCTCTTGCGTTTTTACACACCGCTGTGGCTGGTATGTAATTGGCGAAGCAGTAGGTATGCTACATGAAAATACTGTTAAGGACTTGCCTCAAGATAAAAATATGAATACCCTTTATGCGTATTTTTGAAACATTTATTGATAATGATATTCTATGTATCATAAAGGTACCTACATATATTATGATATGCGTGACTTCTCATGTATTCATGAGGATATATATTGATTCCTGTTGTAATACGTGGCAGGCGGCGGCTCCCGCGGTCCTCCGGAGTTCGTTGCGCATCCTCCCGGCGACTCCCGCGGCTCCTGAAGCGCGTCGCGTATCTTCCCGGTGGCGGTAGCCGGCCGGGACCATGTTCTCCGGGTCGGCTGCACGGTTCCCAGCGCCTCCGCATCCTGGCGGGACAGTACCTCCGAGCCGAGAACATATCGGCGCGCCGGCCAGTTCCTTCCCGGATGTGTCCCGATTGCACCCGGCACAGCTGCCCCTCTGTGAGACTCATCACCCTGCTATCGGAATTGGTGTCTCCCCGACCTCGCGACTTCCGCCGTCCCTCTCCGGCGTGCGACGGCCGCTGCAACCCCTTCTCCTCCGATCACCCGGTCCGATACTGTCTCGCGTGGTTTGTTCTCACCCGTTTGCAGTATTTGCGAAACGGCGACTCTGTGCGCCCGGAGTCGGCTTCCCGACGCTCGCGTATTTTTCACGATGATTTGCGAGCTCCACAGATTGAAAGCCAGTGTGGCTTTGAGTGGGTCGTTTCGTCAGATCAAACTGTCTGATATGGCTGTATTACATCGCGGGCGAGTCGAGACTTTCGTGCTAATACCGAATGGGGCACTCTTGTCGACATCGACATATGTCACTACAGTCGTTCCCTCGCTAACTTTTATGATTCGACCGGTCCGGCGATGCGTGCTGGGGCGGCGGACTGACAGCTGGAATGGAGTTTTGCACGTCTGATTGAGTTCCAATTATAGGCCGACTTTATTGCCGCTAATTTGCCTCCTTAGCGGGCTATTCGAGGAGTCTGCGGGGACCTGTGCCGACAGTCTCGCTGTTTCACCGTGCGCCGTGCCGTCCTCCGTCCGCACCCCGTTCTCTATCGCTCGCCGCCTGTTCATCTCCACGGCCCCCACAGCTGCCACCCGAGTCTCCTCGCTCCTCAACCTGCCGTGTTCGCTGATAAGTCGACACACTGACGCAGTAGCGACAAATGTTACGCGTTTACGACAAAGCCGGCGCGGTGTCGACAGCTGTCACGGCGCGGCCCGCCTACCGCCCCCGGTATCTGTGTTCTGGCGTGTCAGCCCGTTTCTGCGCCTGTGTCGCAGCGTGTCACGACCAGTGTCGATGCTGAGCCTCATATGTCAGACCGGCCGCCGACGGTTTCCGTCGATCTCGACGGGTGCTGTCGTTGTCGACGATGTTTGGGTGGGCGTTATCGACGTTGACTTGTTTGCCGGTGACAGGCGGGCGGTGG